AGTAGAGAATGATAATTAATTTTTTTATTTGGTAAAATAGATAATTCAGTTGAGAAATATATATATATATATATAAAAATACAGATATATAAATGATCAAATAAGAATAAATGATTAACAGGATAAAAAGAGAGTTTTAACGAATGACAATTTATGAAAAATATTTTGGTAATTTTTTTTTAAAAAAAATTATAAATTATATACGATATTTTTTAAAATTATATTTTAGTACAATTTCTTAAAAGATCGTAAAAATTAAATACTTTATAAATAAATTAAGTTTGTTTTTTTGTAAAATTAAAATAATATAATTTTTAAAAAAAAAATATAAAAATTAAATAGTACAAAAAAATTAAAAATTAATAAAAAAACATATACTACAACATCATTTCTCTCCATTTATCTGCATATGGGAGAGAAATGAAAACAAAGAAATAGAAATGATTTATTTGTCTAAGTTTCATTTCTCTGATTCAAACAAACAAGAGAAATGATACAATTTGATTTACTTGGCCTAATTTCTTTGTACCAAACAATATGATTTTAAGAAAATTAAATTAAAAAAAAAATTCTTTTCATGGTAAAGAAAAATAGAAAAAAAATGGTATTTTTACTAAAAAAAAAAAAGAATAAGTTTGGATGAAAAAAAAAAAGTGAAAATAACTTTGGATAACAAGAAAGAATTTTATTACTCCCTCCGTCCTATAACAAAATATTCATTTGTCTTTTGCGTCATTGTACTTAACATTGAAAATATCATTATATTTGTATAATTTTTTTATACAAATGTCATTACATTTATATTATAAGACAATAATAGAAGTATTTGTTATTTTCTCTTTATTTGTAATACGATTTGATATAATAATTAATATTCAAAGATCAACACACAAAGAAAAAATAAAATAAAAAAGCAAATGAATACCTTGTTATAGTACATATGAAGTATATTATTTAATTATTTTTTATATGAGTAGTGTATTATTTTTTTAAATAAAATTCATATATATAATTAAAATTATTTTAAAATATATGTTTAAATATTTTAAATATTATTTTTTAGAAAATAAAATTTTATGTAATAGAAATAAATAAAAAAATTATCTATCTATTTGTTTATGATTAACATAAACTATTTTATGTAAAATATGAAGTATTGAATGTAGATAAAATATTTGTTTATTGAAAAACAATAAAAATAAAAGAGTTTCGAGTCAATTCTACATATAAGATGTTTAAATTTTAATTAAATTAATTTATGTTTACAAAATAAATTGCCGAAATATTACACTAATTTTGGTTCAAAAATATTTTTGGGATAAAAAATACTCCTAAAACACTACAAGAAAAAATTATTTTTGTAACAAAATATTTTTGTCTATAAATCTACTTTTTCCGTTACTAATGACATTAGAGACGGAATTATGAATGAAATTACGTTAGCTATGTGAACTTTATAGACAAAATTCCATTACAAATATATTATTTTTTTTTGTAGTGAAATATCGATCTCTCACCAATTTTATTAAATGATCCATACTTTGGGTAGAAGGTTAGTAGATGAAATCTAGGGTGTATTTGCACGTGGGATTGGAAGTTATGCTTGATATTCGATACGATATAAATATATATTTTCATTGTCAAATAAAATTAGAATTTTTTGGTCCGGCATATAAATTAAAATAAAAATCATAAATATTTTATTAGGAAATACATTTATATTCTCTTTATACGATAAAATTAAAATATTTAAGTCCGTCACATAAATTAAGAAAAAATAAATATTTTATTAAAAAATAATATGATTTTTTTTATATTAAAAAAAATAATACTACTGTTAACAAAATAATTAATAAGAGTGCACTCTTGCAGTGAATTGAACTTCAAAAGAATGCACATAAGCTTAAATTTGATTTTTTATAATTTGATATTCGACGAACTTTCTAAATTATACTCCCTCCGTCTCATGTAATATAGGTGTATTACTGTGGACACGGGAATTTAGATAAAATATAATTAGTAAGTAATTAAAAAGTGTATTAGTAAAAATAATTATAGATTAAGATTAAGATAAGTAAATGGTTTAATTAAAATTAAAAAAATTATAAAATTTAAAATTTAAAATGCGATTAAAATGCATAATTATATTTCCAAAAATAGAAATGACAAGTTACGTGGGACGGACGAAAATAGAAAATAGGGACAAATTATACGGGACGGAAGGAGTAGTAGATACAATACAAAGATAAATTACATAAAATTTATAGTGATTATCAGGAAATCATTCATCAAGAAATTGTGTATGAATGAATATGTTGAATTTGTCACCGTCCTCAGGAATTTATAGACACGCACTTAAACAGTGTTAAAATATGTTTAGAAAATATATATTATATTTATGGTAATTATATTATTTAAGAGATTTGTATGATTGTTACATTATTTAGATGATTTGTATGTGAAATATAGAATTTCAATTTCATATAACAAACAGTTAAAATCGATTCTTGTTTGTATCAATCGTTGGCAAAGCTCACATCGCCTATTGCCATCGTCTTCTCCACCGAAAAAAAACCACAAAACGCTGCCCATTCCAATTTCTAATTTTGGTATTGGCCACTTTCAGTGCGATCTTCGTCGTGTGTTTCTTCAACTTCATTTTTCCCGTCATGGTCATCAAACGAGTTTATTGATACTATATATGCTGTAAAAATTTTGATTAGACTACAAAAATTCTGTCTGCAAATTAGGATTTACACACGAATTTGATTTCTTCTTAATGTTTGATCGAAGTTTATGTAGAAATTGTGGTTTTAGGTCTTCCGATATGTAAGAACTAAAGTTATCGTACACTTTTTTTGTTGTACTTTTGTGATTGCTAGCATTTTGGCAATTTTGAAATTTGTATTATACTCGATGTATTGTATAATTTAGGATTTTATTAACCATTTATTTTCCGCATCTATGGCGGTAGTGATTTACACTCACTTATACGTGGATTTTCATCTTCTACTTTATACCATGACTTTTAAAAACAACTTGTTGAAATTTGATAACTATGTTCCCATTTTACAAGCCATCGTTTCAATAATAAATTATTATTCTATTGCTTTCGCATAAAAGTTCAATTTGGTTGTGTTGTAAGGTGAAGCTTCAATGTTTTATATAATGGACGAGTTGATCGGACTCGACATGTACTTTTAATTAATAATTTGGCTCAAACGATTAAACAAATCTTAAAAAGAATTTAATTCAAGACACTCCAATTTACAAACAATTAGCCAATTAGTCAATAAAAATATTGGTCGAGAAATCATGTCTTGCAACATACGTGAAAGTTAAATGAAGATTTTCAAATTTGCTCATAAAATATTTTTTGTTTAACAATATTTTCATTTGACAATTAAAGTAAGAATGAAAATTATTAAATTCTCTCAAATTTATTAAAATCTCATGTTATTTTCCCCAAAAAAAACCATTTGGACACTATGCTTATTTATTCAAGGTGTCATATTTAACCCCCAAAATCATAATATTTAAAGGTAATTACATTCCTTCTCCAAAAGTCAAAAACTAGGTTTGGGCTAATTTTTAACCCACTCCACTAATTTGCATATGAGTCTTAAAGAACATTTTTGTGTTTATTTCGTCGAACACGGATTTTAATAAAAATAAATAATAATTATTATATTTTTTATTTTATAGTAAAAGAAATACAAAAATTTATATTTTTTACTTAAAAAAATGAAAATATTTTTTAATCCAAAAAAAAGTAAACATAAATTTAAATGATAAAGAAATTACATTTTTCAATATTTTGAAAAGCAAGGACATAATAATATACTCCCTCCGTCCCAGATACTATATCCACGTTGCCGTTTCTGTCCGTCCCACACCATGTCACTTTCCTTTTTTGGAAAATGATTACACACTTTAATCTCATTTTAAATTTAAACTAATACAGTGTAGCATACATGGTATCTGGGACGACGGAGAGAGTATGTTGTTTATGAGAGGGTGTGGCCGTGTACCGTTGTTATAGTATTACTAGTTTTATTTGAGGTTATTACAATCTCCAAATCTTACAAACCTTAGGTGGTTGTTAATGTACTTAATTTTATATATATATATATATATATATATATACACTTACCATTAATGCTACCCAAAAAAATATATATATATATACACACTCATTCATATATATATATTAACTCAAAAAAAAATAATAATAATAATATCAGTCAATACAAAATATTATTTTTTATATATATATAAAATGTATTACCTATATGTTTTTTCATATCTAATATAAAACCACTTCAAATTAAGAACACTAAACAAATACATTTATTTTTTATTTTCTTTATTATACTAAAAAATTTATATTCACAAATCACATCTAACACTTATTTATATCTCATTCGTATACTTATTCCAATTCAAAATTTTTACTAACACTTATTTATATCTCACTCGTACACTTATTCCAATTCAAAATCTTTACTGTTCAAATCCGAAACCCCCAAACAAAATCAAAATCATATATGTACCGTGCTACACACTCTTAACGCACATATGTATGCATATACATATAACCACAATTAATGGAAATTGGCATTGTACCTCCTCATTTTATTAGTTTCAATTCAAAAGAAACTGTTAAACAATTTTACCTAAAAATTTAAGCTAATAGAAAAATAAATGTCCCATTTGATACCATTCATATTAAATAACTATCTCACATAAAACCTTATCGAATCGAAAAATGCATTTATTACACATTATATAGTCTTCCAACAGAAACCTAAAACATTGGAGCCCCTACCTAGCAAATGCTAAGAAAGTTTAGAATTAATACCTATTCCATCCACAACATTATACATAATCATCTGCGAATACACGTGCGTACCTGCAACCATATAAAGCTCCTTCGACAGCTTTGAGTTCCGGCGAGAGTGTGCTTAGAATGTACAATTTTATCTCGAACCCTTCAAATATTGAAAAAACAAACAAACAAAACTTTTCTATTGCAAGTCAAAATTCTTGCATATTTACATCGACTGTTGAGAGTAAAACATAACATGTATGACGCGTATTATTACATGTAGCACATTGGGCAGCAGATCCCTAAAACAAAGATTCGACAAATTTCACAGTTGATGCTCAGCAATAATCAGATATCTAAAAACCAAAATTTCCAACGCTAGAAGGCAACTAACTCCGCGGCTGAATTACCAAAGAACAAAAGAAAAGGTTAAAATCATCGAATGAGGAATAACCAACATGGATATTAACATCTCATTTATTCTCAAAAATATTTTACAAGCGTCGGTCAAACATGATCACAGAACATTCAAACCTGCAATATTATGATATCATAGAAGTTTTCAAGGTCCGATGTGTTATAGATCACACTGAAGGGAGAAAGTAATTCATATTATGGGTCGGGTGTACTATGTACATATGTAGTTACCTTCATGTGTGCTATACGCTCCATAAGCATTAACCTCTTTCTGGTTCAGGTAATACACATTCGATCCCCACCACAGCATATTGCAGGCGTCATAACTCATGGCAATAACTTAAGATTGAAGTTTCCCGAGATGCTTTTGGAGCCAAAATTCCAACTTAGTATATCCACATTTACTTCGTACGTACATTCTCCACTGAAGCTCTTACAACCTCGATCTATGTTTGATGCTTCGAATAACTGACCGTCTGCGGACTGAAGCATAGGGCTCTCCATTCAAAGAGCCGGAGAATTTAATATCCCAACCTTCAACGTTCTTTGGAACACAAACATCAAAAAGTATTTGGCCGAGGATGCTGTTTGTGTTCATACTTGGGCTTGAATGATGAGACAGCACATCTTTGCTCTCTTCTTGGGGTGACCCATAGTCGGGGGTCTTCTGATATTCTGATGAACTAGGCAGGAAGAAGTGGTCGCTGGGCCCAACTGCAACTCTACGGAAGCTTTGATTTGAGTGAACTGCAGCATTCTGGAGGTCGCATATCAGATCAGATATTTCGTCATGCATATAATCCGTGCGAGACTTTTTCCCAAGTTTCTGGACTTTTTCAGAGAAAATTGAAACTGCCCGGTCAAGCAACTCAGCCGTGGCTGCTGTATACTGCATCGGCTGTTGTTTGTATTGACCTGTTTCGAAACATACCATATGTCATATCCACATATTACTTAGGGAAAAAAATCAGGCTGCACAAGATGCCAGACAGCATAAACCCGTCGGAAAAATGATATGCTTTGCACATAAGAAAGATCTTATTTATTTTTCGGTTTCGTAATATAAATAAATTTAGCTTGAGTGAGAACAGAGGAGAAAATGGAAAAAATGTAGGGCCGATAGAAAATCCCCATCCAAACAAACTCCACAAAATATAACAATCAGCAAATGGAAAGACCTTCCCGTTGTCTCAATTTCATGCTCTATTTGGTCCAAATCTACAATCCCGAGAAGCTCAATATGGAACCAAGTTAAAATTATAATGTACTTATTACCTTATCTGACAAACAAATCACCATTATTACATAATCGGAAATTTTGAATTAACTTACAAAATTTATGGAATTACGGCAACACAAAAGAAGCAAATTGAAGAAGGATATTAACTATTTCCAATAACCTATATTCAGGGTAACAGTGAACATTATATGCACATTCAACTGATTCCTAACTAGCTCAGTAAGCATCATTGGCTTCTACATACTTAAATATATTATGAGGCATCATATTCGAACTAGAGAACTCGGCTTGTTTATAGAGATAAGCGACCCGAGCTTGGGCTCGAAAATTATTATTTAGACAAATAAAGCCCGAGCTCAGCTCGCAAATAGCTCATTTTGCTCGTTAGTGATTGCATATTTGTATCATTGTATATATTAATATAATACATATAAATAATCCTTTATATCAAAGTTTATATTTATTAATAAAAAAATTTATTATAATAAACTATGAACAAAACTAGATATATTTAATTTATATATTTAAAATTATATATAATATGTATAAAATTTGAGTCGAACTCGAGCTTAAATTCGAGCGTAACGAGCTGAGCTTGAGCTAATGTTTAAGCTCGAATCCTAAACGAGCCAAGTTGGGCATATACCGATAATATGTTCGAGTCGAGCTCAAACAACAGATATTCAAGCTCGCTCAGCTCGTTTAACAGCTCTAATTTAGACTAATAAATCCAGTTCCACATGCACGTTTTCATTAGCGAGGTGGAGCTAAACAAGTTCATAACAATCGTGAAAAATATAATACTAACCTTCATTGGCTGTACTAAACTTCACAACACTCACATTTCCCCCCAACTCTCGAATACGTTGAGCAAAGTTGCAAATTGTTGAAATTGGAATGGAATCATTGTTCTCTGAGCATAAAATGAGAAACGGCGCCCCTATGTCCTACATTAAGAGAGCAAATAAATATAACAGTTCGATACTAAAAAAAAAAAAGAAAAAGAAAAAGAAAAAAGAATGCAACACAACTTGTAGATAAAAGACAAGTGTGACATACAACTGAAGAATATAGCGTCTGCCAGTAATCTGTGCGTTGAGATCCAAATCTCGTGACGAATAAAGCATCCAAACTTGAGGTAACCCATTTTCCAAATAACGATACTAGCTTCGATGAACCAGGCATTTTCAGAATGGAGCTGTGTAGAGCCAATCTTGCACCCAAGTCGTTAGTGAAATCCACAGGATCAGAGTCATAGATCTGGCCCGAGATGCAGCTAGCAACCAATCCGCTATCCTCCTTATGCAACACAAAAAGGTGATTAACGTAAGGTTTACTCATTCACCATTCACAGCAGATTTTCGAAGTCAGGTAAACTTACGAGGCTGGGCTCAAGTTGCGAACATTCTTTAATAATCTGCACCAAACAATGGAACCAAAGACACGATTTTTAGGATGTAAAAAGGAAAAGTACCGGCACAATTAAATTCAGCTACACTTCATACATCAATCATGGCTATGCGAAAATGAACATAACCTGAAGAAACTTGTACATGCAAGCTTTGGAGCCACCACAAAACGATGCGAGGACTACAGGACACAGCCCACATCTAAGCTCCTACATCAACAACCACGTATTAATCGGCAAAAGAACAAAATAACTTGAAACCGAAATTGACAACCCTAATTACGCAGCATTAACCAAAACATATTAAAATGTCGAGTAAGTATTGTAATGCAACCGGAACAACTTAGAAAAGTCTATTTGAGTCTCGCACAATAAGGCAATCGAAGAGCTCAAGCTTCAAGAAAGGGGGGACTTAATTGCCTTTTTCGGTAATTCAAGAACACCCAAAACACTCGAACTCTCAACCATTCACTGCCAAATTTACAGATCTAATTTTTTTTTATTTTATTTTCTCAATGTAAAACAAAGCCTTGTCGGTGACTAACCTTAACGAGCTCCTCAAGGACAGAAAAGGCCAAAGATGTAGCTCTATCTGGGATAAATCTGCAGAAAAACAACCAACAGAATGGTCATACTAATTCAAGAAACAAATTGAGAGAAAACACAGATGCTATAAGCATTGTAAGCATGCTGATATCTCACCACAACACTGTTATTGAAGAACATGATCTCATATTAGTTTCATTACATCATTTCTGATGAAATTTCAAAAAAGTGAACAAGAACAAGCACTAGCAACTCAACAGAAAAAGGCAAAGTCAAAAACAACTTGAATTTTGCTGTTTAGATAGAATTATCCACTTTAATCATATGAATTCCTGAAATTCAACAACATTTATCATTCTCTAAAACTATTTCCCCCAATTCCCCGGAAGCCAACAGAAACTCCGTTTGCTCAACTTTGACCACTGTTTTCAAAAGGCACAAGAATTTCGATACCAAAAACTTCAACATCTATACCTCTATACAGAAACCTCTAACACATTCACAATTATCAAGAAAAAAGAAAAAAGGTAAAAGGAAAAGGAAAAGAACACCACTACGCACGAACAGCAGCAAATTACAACAGTAAAACGAGTAATTACGGATTGAGGTAACCGGAGCGGCAAACAAGAGGCTTCCATCCAAGAGAAGTGTAGAGACGAGCAAAATCCTTCAGCTGAGCATCGGTAATTGAAATCCACGCAAAAACGACGACTATACCCTTAACCTTGAACTCTTCCGCGTGACTCCTCACCCAATAGACTCTCCCCCCGCTGCTCATCCTCGGAAAGGGTCGGAACTCGACTGCTCGAATCTCCGACCAGTGGTAAAGGAAAATGAGGGTTTGGATTTGTGGAGAAATTAGGAAGGGAGAAGATGAGGACAGACGAGAGAGATGATTGTGTTCTTGGTGGTGGTTCGCCGAGTGGTATTGCTCATGTGCCAGCTCAGATAAAATGCGCACCCTTGGCGCATCCCAGGGATATTCCAACGGCTAACGTGCGCCGCATACGTAACGACGTCGTATTTCTCGAATTGGTTTGGGCCTGCTTGTGACTGGAGCCCAATAGGCCCGGCCCCATTTAGAGGTATTGTTAGAGTGTGTTTGTTTGAGGGATTTTATGGGATTTCTACTATTCTCATAAAATTTTTCTTCCAAAAACATCAAATCTAATATTTATTTTTCATTTTTTATATTATACTCAAAATCAATTTTACATTCAAAACATCACATCAATTCTTATTTATATCACATCGTACAACTATTCAAATTCAAAATTTTTACTATTCAAATACCAATCCAAAATCCAAACCCTCAAACAAACACACCTTTAGTGTTCAGTTTTTGTGATTTGTTTTTATTGGAGGTTCCGTTGTAAATTTTTCGTCTTTTTTCATCAATTTGAGTTTATTTTATTGTAGTATATGGTTTATTTTGGATTTTTGGCGTGATTCGGAATGGTAAGCATTTTTTTAAATAATTTTGGGCTTCCAAAATTAGGGTTTGTTTAGACACGGGTTTTTTTTTTAGAGGTTTTTGAAAATTTAAAAGTTTTGAAAAAAATAATTTGATATTTTATGAGAAAAAAAATATATTTGATGTGATATTTTTAAAAAATAAATAGTATCAAATAAGTGTAAATGTGTTGCTTAAACAAATCCTAAATGTTTGAGTTTTGGACTTGGTTATTGAGTTATGCTGTAAAATTTGGCCTCGGCGACATGGTCTGATTCCGACGGATGGCCGTGCTTGTGACTAGTATTTTAATTCTATATAATTGTTTAGAAATATTATAAAATAATATACAATACATATAATAAAAAAATATAAAGAAAGTTAATAAAATACATAAAATATACTACATCCGTCACAGATACCATGTCCATGTTGCCGTTTATGTCCATTCCACATACCATGTCATTTTTCTTTTTTGAAAAATGATTATACACTTTAATCTCATTTTAAATTTTTAAATTTTATTTTTTTTTAAATTTTAATTAAACTAATTAGTTATCTTAATTTTAATTTATAATTATTTATATTATAAGATAATTATTTTCACTAATACATTCTTAATTATGAACTAACTACACCCCTCCTAAAATACCGTGTCTACAGTGTAGCATACACGGTATCTGGGACGGAGAGAGTAGTATTTTTTTATATACATTTTTATACTTTACAATAAGAATACTTAAAAATAAAAGTGTTAAACAAACATACTTTTAATAGTGACAATAAGATAATTCTAATAATATATTTTTTTTAAAAAAATGGTACTCCCTCCGTCCCAAACATGGTGAAATATTTGGTTTTGGCACGGGTTTTTAGGTGGGTAGTATTAAGTAGGATAATTTAGAAATTAGGTGATGTGATGGAGAGAGAAATATATATTTTATTTTTTTATTTGGATGATGTGAGGGGATAAAGTGTGGGGTAGAGATTAAGTATAATTAATTATTTTCTATTTTGGAAATATTGCATAGTGTTTGGGACGTACCAAAAAGAAAATGTTGCAGGGTGTTTGGAACGGAGGAAGTACTATTTATGTCAGCCAAATTTATTTTGGCTTTCTTTTTTTAGTATGTCCCTTAAATTTATCTAATTGCAAAGTGAACAAATCAACGTTTAACTCTACTAAACATTTATTTACAATAAATATCACTAACTTTATTATATTTTCTTTATTTACTTTGATTTCTAACTAAATTTTTAAAAATACACTCAACTATCTATAACTTTTCTAATAAAATATTCATTTTTCTTAAACTTCGTGCCGTACCCAAGTATTTTAATTTTAATGGAAGGAGGGAGTATTATTTATTATTTTTAAACAATACAAAAATAAATAAATATATATATATATACAATGTGTTTTTAATTTTTTTATTTTGCTCTATTATCATTTTTTTTATAAAATGTATCAAATCGAAGAATATAACATTGAAATATAAATTTCTGATCATATTATTTTAAAAATTTTGAAAATTAGTCCTCTTTATTTAGATTTGTGGTTCCTCATCTCCTTTTACCCAAAGCTGGTAATAACTTTTAACTAACAATTTTAATTATATTTTATTCCAAATAATTGAGAAAATCTCAATTTATTTATACGTTGATCCAAAACATTTTTATTCACATAAAAATCAATTTCGAAAAGCTCTTGAATTTAGTTTTCTTATAATTAAATTCCTCGGCTATTTAAATCAATTTATTTAATATTTTACTCTTAAACCTATTTAATTTTAATAATATTATATGTTTAAAATTTGTCTATTTTATAAATTTGTTAGCCAATTATTCATGCTATACATGAAAATTTTACAAAATATTATTTTTGTTTGATTTTAAATTATCGTAATTAAATTTTAATTTAAATAATATTTTTATTTGTTAAGTTTAAACCAAAAAAAACTCGTTAAAAGCCAAAATATATTAAAAGTTTGTTCGTTTTATTTTTGTAGTTATATTTTATTAAATAATAATAATTTAATATAATATTTTATGAGATGAATAATATATTTTTATAAAAAATATACGAAGTTATATAGTAAAATTTTGAGAAAAAATATTCACTTTTTAGTTTTAAATTTATGTTCGTGTTTAATATTTTAAATTAAATAATAACTAAATTTGATATATTATATAAAAAAATAACATATTTTAATATGAATGGTGAGACTTAAAAAAATAAAAAGAATGAAAAATAGCCTAAAACATGTATGGTGTAATTTGGTGGCGATTTTATATTTTTATATGGTCATTTCTGCATTTACGACAACCTTAGGGGGTATAGTGTAATTTTATGTTCTGATTTTGTAGTTTTTTTTTTTTTTTTTGGTTTTTATTATTTTTCATCAGGCCTCCATTCGAAACGCCGTCGTTTCGGCGGGTGTGACATCGGAAAGCCCCCTTTTTTACTGGCGATAAAAGCCCTCTGATGATGGAAATTCTGAAAGTGGACGTCGTGAAAACGAGAGAAGAAGTTCCGATTTCTGGTCCTATGAGTGGAATGCTGGCTCTACTTCAACCGAGGTTGATCACCGCTTCATGTGTCAAACTGTTTTGCGTTTCGAAATTTAATGAATTAGTTGTTCTGCTGTAATTTTTTGAAACTGGTGTTTTTAGATTGTTTGCGTTGCACAAAAAACCACGAACAGAGACCATCGGAGTTTATTTTCTTGAGTTTTATTAATTATAGGTTTGAATTCTGAATTAATAGCTTGAGGTTCGTTTATATTCACCGTTTGATCACTTGATTTTATATTATTTACGAACTGTTTTGTTATTGCTTCGCTGTGGATGATATGGTGGATTCTTTTATTTGTTATGGTTTTATTGTTTTTGAAGCTTTAATTGGAAAGTAGGTTGATTTGCTTGATGTTCTGCTTCAGGTGGATAGGATGACTTGGTTTCACTTTCACTTCGTTCAATTTTGTATGTAATTTACAGATAAGTGGAGTGAGTTTAATTTGATGTCGAGTTAGAATCCATTGATTTGTGAATTTCTGTTGAAAGATTTAAATTATGTTTTGTATTCTTGAAAGTGTGTCTGCAATGCTCATGTAGAATGATGTTAGAAACATTTAAATCTCATGTACGTGTGATTCAATGCTATTCGATTGGGCAACATGAGTTTCCGGAATGTGATCGGCGCTTATTGAATTATTTGTAGTTTTCTATGCAAAGCTAATAATACTATGCAACGAAAGACTTACCCACTATTGGGTTGTGATATTTCGAACAATTGTTAAACATAAGGTGAATATGCTTCACATTTCTATGAAGTGTCGTGTTATTCTTAAATGCAAATTATAATTATGTCGTGTTACACTTGGCACTGTTTGATTTATGATATAGAAGGTTTACGACATGCCACGCCCTCTTGTTGTGATGAAATCCATTGGCTACGATCTTGTGGAACATGTACGACAAAGAGGGCGTACAAAGTACCATAAATGCGCTTTGTACACGGCTTTTTAACAGACTGAATTTGTTATATGTTGAGAATATCAACTGCTATAGTTTTGTTTCGAGATGTGCTTTTGTAATAGTTAGGTATGCAGTCTCGTTCTCTGTTCATACTAAATATTACTCCTTAAGTTCTGCACATAATATTCCTTAGGTAGATGATTCCGTTTTCTGCTTAACCTTAATCCTCCTTTCTTTGTTATGCCTTCTAAACAGTGGCCCTTCTTTGATGTATTGCTAACAAATTATTAGCATAGAAATAAGTCGTACAATAAGATGAGAAGTCATAAACAGGCTAGAATTGTGAATATTGACATTGAATGAGATGGGAAGTCCTAATTATGGGATAGGGCATACGATACTGTCGAATGATCATATGCTTATATGTATTGTTGCATTCCTGCTTAACAAATGTTTTACTATAACCATGTGTATTAATTTACAACGATTTTTATGTAATTTTACAGTGGTGAAACTAAAGCAAGCGCAATCGTTAAACCTCATAAGTGTGTCGACGTCAATGTCAATGTCATTACCTCGTCCATGGAGTTTAAACAAGGCATTCAATCGAATCTGTCAGAACAGTACCCTAGTTTTTTCAAACAATTGCTCAAATCCCATCTCTCTGGTAAATTTTATTTGGTGAGTTCAAGATCTCATCACTCTGTAAATTTAACCAAAATTTTCATTTGATGATGACATTGTGGAGACTTTTACTCTTTTTGTAACAGGGCTTACCGAAGAAATTTTGCGATGCTCATTTGCCAAGTCATGATGATGCTGTTATTCTTGTCAATGAATCCAACCAAGAATACACCGCAAAATACTCATTTCGGAAACACAGACTCTGCTGTGGTTGGAGATGCTTCTCTATCACGCACAAATTGATGGAGGGAGACGGTTTAATATTCAATCTGATCGAGTCTTGCAAATTTAGGGTAACTATTCGATCCTTGCTTAACATAATTTCTTACATGCATACTAGCCCGATTTCATTATGAAAACGTTAAGGGTGTGTTTGTTTGTGGGTTTTAATTTTTGGGTTTGGATTTTTTATTAGTAAAATGTTGAATTTGAATAGATGTTTGATGTGATATAAATAGAGGTTAACGTGATGTTTTGAATGTAAAATAAATTTGTAATATAATATAAAAAAAAAAAAAAAAAGTAATTGTTTGGTGTAATATTTTTGGAGGAAAAAATGAATTTGAATAGTAAAAATCTGCGGTAAAACTACAAAGAACACAACCTAAGAGTTTGATTTAAATTGAAGCCATCATTCATTGCTCTTGACATTTTGTATCCTACCGAACATGATATACACATTGTACATGCTGTTTCAATAATTATCGATTGTGACATGTGTTGTATGAAATGTTGTCATATGTAACATATACTGTGTGTTGTTCGAACAATCATTAATCTCTTCTTATCCGCCTCTTACAGTGATCTTTGACGGTTTTTACAGGTATGCATTATTCGATCCGGAAGATTATCCGAAAACAACGATGGATCATTGAATGTCCAAACATACGACATTCAAAATTGCATCCCGGTGGTCACCGCAGGTACGGCACCTCTATATTCTCGATTTCCATCCGACTTTAAAGTCCCAAATTAACCGTAAAGAACTTTACCAGTGAAAATCGAGAACCAAACCGAAGAAAAGACTCGTACAGGCGAAAATCCGGGACCACCGTACAAACATATCAACGGAGTAAACGGCCACCACCACGAGATGAACAAGGCAAGATTCGTAGCGCAATACGGGAACACTGTCGTCGACCATTTCACCCCGGATCTTCCCGAAGGCATCAGATATCCCGAGTCAACTTCCGTTCCCGGCTTCGAAGACCTTTCCAACTTCAAGATCCGCGTCGACGAACACATTCTCGATTCCGAGATACCAACGAACATCCGAATCAAGTACTACCAGCTCTGCTGCAGCCAGAAGACATTTCTTCACACCCATCTCATCAAAGGCCTCAGCTGCAAATTTTCCGGCGCGATGATCATCGAAACCGTCGAGATTTCCGACGCCATCCGATCCTCCGACCTGTCGACGCCCCTCCACCAGCTCGAATGTTGGGACAAAACTCTCAAAGCATTCGAGGATCTCGGAATGACGGTCGGGTTCCTACGCACCCGGCTCAGCAAGTTAATCAGCGTCTTGCGGGAATCGGGCCGTGTTTATGAGTCGAAGAGACAAAAAACCGCGCAAGCTTATAGGGAGATTGCGGCGACGCCTATTAATATCGAATCGTCGATGGGAAGTATAGCCGTCGCCGAAGTTAAGGTTCTCAAGTATCGAAACGAGAAGCTCGGCCTCGACTTCAAGGAGCTCGTCACCGCCCCGTGGTGAAAATTCCGGTCGGCTTTTTTTTTTTTTTTTTTTTCCGGTCACATTGGAAGAAGCCATTTCAGTACAAAGTGCCCCCATTGTTGAAGTAATATGGCTCTGGTTACATATTAACTTTAGAGATTGGCTATATTCAAATTTTAAAATTTTTTTTCCCAAAAGCTCTCATGTCTTGTCTAATTTTAGTACTATGATAAAATCTTATTTTATCTTCACAATAATTTTCAAAATTTATCCAAATGACAATTGAATTGTCTAAATTGGACTATGATAGTTGACTTTGACTTAATTTTGGCTATAGACCAACTAGGGTTGGCACAGTTCAAATAATTACAAATATATAGGTATTTGATATTCGAACCTAATCGAATAAATATCCGAAATTTCGAACCGTATCTGAACCAAAAATTTGGGTTAACCAAAAATATTTGCAAATAATTCGAATTGAACTGAAAATAAAAAATAATATATTAAAAAATAATTTAAATTCTAATTAAATAAAAATATTTGTAAATATTTCAAATATCCGAACAATAACCGAACCGAACAAATATCAAATATGCAATATTTGTATTCAAACCAAATTTACTAGATTAATCGAAAATTTGGTTCGATTCAACGGTTCAATTCGATTTTTTTGCCCATCCTAAGACCAACTATTGTGAAAAATATTTTACTATTTTTTTTTTTTATTGAAAATTATATTAAGAATGATAGAAATTTGAAAGCAAATACAAGCATAGGTTTTATTCTTTTATATCTTATATTTATATATGTCTACATGTTTCTTAATAAAACTACTCTCATAATATAGGTATAATATAAAAATAAAAACTACTTCACCCTAACAACATAATAATTCTCTAAAATACTTTAAAATTTTTAATAACTAAGGACAAAAATCTCACAAAAGTTAATACATTGAATGAACATAATCATACTTTTTATTTAATTTAATAAAATATTTTACATCATATTTTTATGCATTTCAGTTTGCAACTTCAATCTCAAAACTCATCTAAATAATGTCAATAATCTTCATTTCACACAAATTCTTATTAAAAAAAAAACAAAACTTATAAAATCGAAAACCCGTCTAAAAAATTAAAATATTTTTACAAAGTGTTTTGAAATTTTTGATTGATTTGAGATTAACAAACCCCCAACCGAATGTAATACCTGCAAACCAGGTTTGACAGGAAAGTCACACTAGACGAACCATGTGTGACAGGTGACGTGAAGCGTCGGGAGTTTAAACCTATGTCCAACCCCACCAGACCATCCCTTACAGGACCCTTGTTTATTTTTATTTTTGATTTAATTATATCTTATCTATAAACATTTTATATATATCAGCATGATGCTGAATTTTAACTGACGCCAATATTTATATGTTGTTATCTAGGTAGATAAGATCATCTAAATTTTCTAAATTAATCTAGTAAATAATGTTGAATGATTTTATTAGGAACTCGCAGTCCTTATTCTTTACTCGGGATAGACCACCGATCAAAAGTAAGATCTGAACTAACTCCACTTCCAGACCATCCTTACGAGACATCTATTTTAGTTATTTATTTTTGAACTCATGATCTCGTGATTTCAAATTCATCCCACACTACCGGACCACTATTCTTTATCAATAGCACCTTCGAAGATAGTTTAATAAAGGCATTCGTACACACTAATATTTATATACCCATTGGTAATATTCCTTATTCTACATACAATAAATCGATACATTTAGAACGAAGCTTAGATAAATAATACCAATTTATTTTTAGTAGTTACAAACAAGAGTACAAATTCAAGCCTTACCTTAACTCATCATCATCGTTGCCAACTTGTCTTATTTCTTCTTCTTCCTCTTGTCGTTACATAAAAAGTCAGAATTCTGCCGTTCCATCATCTTCATTTCATAACTTGGCAGATTGATGTCCGAACGATGGATCGATGCACACCACAACCTACATAAAATAAATAAATAAAAATCGAATCAAATTTCCTACAACTTATCATCGAATCGAATGAAATGTATATATATATACCTTGCCAACACTTTTACCAGAATGGAGATGATCGACTGCATCAGCAACCGAATGAACGCCCAAGAATGTTTTCGGGTCTAATGAAACCTATCGAATATAAATTAACAATGTAGCATCGTCGTAAATCCAAGAAAAGAACATATATATATATATATATATATACCTTGAGCTTCCCGGAGGTGTATAGATCGACTAGCTTATCTAGATGTTGTTGCCAGAATCGGGCATAATGTACTAAGAAAAATCCGGCCTGAAAACAGGGATAGATAAATATGCACCCGAACACAACCAAGTTCTATATATATATATATAGGTTTCAACGGCATAAATGTCGAAGAAAATAAAAATCAGTTGGCGCATTCGATGTATACGTATAGCTTACTTACCACAGTCTGGCTCTTGGCTAGAATCTTTTCGCATAGCCCGGGGTAGTTCCGCGGCTTCCAGCCATGTTCACCTTGATACTACGCAAGTAAGTATATATATATATATTATGTATGCTTGTTAAACTGATTATGAATGGATAGCCATCAATGGAATAATGTTGGGAGGAAATGGTAAAGTGTAAACCTGGGAGATCATCCCGATCACAACCAAGCGTCCGTAAGTTGCCAAGGCGTTCAAACAGAGGTCAAACATGTCGCCACCAACTGACTCGTAAACAATGTTGATGCCTTTGGGGAACTCATTCTTTAGAACCTGAGAAGAGAGAAATATGTCAGTGAAAAATAGTGACTCTTGGATTCCTTCCATTGTTCGATCACTCCAACAAACGATAGTAATCTTAATTGCGCATTGCTGCACTGCACTGTAATATTACCACGATTTTCAAGAATTTCATTTGCACCAGTTTTTCGATGCAATTCTACCACTTACAAGGCATTAACAATACTTTGTATCTCACATCAATCAAGGAAATAACAAACTGCAGTCGATCATTGCGCGCAATTAAAGTTCATTAAAATGCAGAGGCTATATCCTGAAATTTCAATGAAATCAAAACCATGCTGCACAAACTAAAGCAAATTACAATATCGAATGAGCCTAAATATCTTATTCAATGTTCTTAAATTCAAGTCTCCAGTTCTAATATTGTCTGCATACCAGAAATAAAAATTCAATTCCCAACTAAACAAAAGCCTATTAAAACTTCGATGAGCTTTTCCATCTCCAAGCCACATGAGATTATAAAACTTGAGAGATAAGAAAGGTTTCAAGAAACATACAGTCTTAATGTCTTCAACTTTATAGTCGATGACTCGATCCACTCCCAAGTCCTTCAAAAGCTGTGCCTTATCCTTACCTCCGCATGTTGCAATAACTTTATTTCCAGCCAATTTTGCTAGCTGCACTAAGATGATTCATTCACTATTTATTTACTTCACATAAATAGCCCGCTACTCGAAAAATGAACTAAAAGGGTAGCACATAAAAAATTTATATCTATATATAGAAATGAGCAAAGAAAGTATTGCTCGTCTCATCAGCCACCTCTCTAGGGTAGCGATAGTGATGTATTTTAAACAATTGTTTGATCCCAGCACAAATTTTTAGTCACTGTGATCAGGCTCCACCCAACTTACTCATATCTAAAATGGGGAGGCTTTTGTCCGGGTGAATCTATAAAGGAGATATGGGTTTCTTCCGCAATATAATGGATTGAGCAGCATTGTGAAATAAATGTCAACTATGAACATTTAAATACTCGGGATAAGCATACCTGGACGGCAAATTGCCCTGTTCCTCCTGCAGCAGCAGTGACAAGGACCGTCTTTCCTGAGTCCATTTGTGCTGCCTGCAGTAGCCAAATGATTCAACAAGATTAATGCAGTTAAAAACAAATGATCATTGAAACAAGGAATTGATCTACAACCAATTCCACTTTCTTTTAAGAATTGAATAACAAAATAAAATAACTAAGACGAACATTAATTGCATATCAAATCACAGCACAAAGAACACCATTTGTGCTGCCTGCAGTAGCCAAATGATTCGACAAGATTAATGCAGTTAAAAACAACCAATCATTGAAACAAGGAATTGATCTACATCCAATTCCACTTTCAAGTTTGTCTTCAGAATTGAATAACAAAATAAAATAACCAAGAGGAACATTAATTGCATATCAACCAGTAGTGCAAAGAACACCTTTTCTAAAGCGATGGAGGCGGTTAGGCCAGACGTCAGCAATGCAACAACTTCTGGATCTGGTCTTGCCACAGGAAGGATGTGTTTGGAATGTACCTAATTTAAAGAGAAATATGTGATCATAAGCAAGTGAAGAGGCTCTTCTGAAAGTGAAAGGAATGCTCATTTCAGAGTATAACAAACATTTACCTTTGTAAATTCAGCATAACTTCCAAATGTCATGATTGCAGCTGGAGTGCCAACTTTTAAGTGCTTAACTGAATCCCCTACAGCAGCAATTATGCCAACAGCCTGAAGAAAAATATCAAAACTGTGAATCAATCCTGGAGGTTTTAACAGAACTTTTTTGCAATTGCCAATATCATTCAACTGAATATGGAAGTGACTGATGCACAAACAATAAGGTTCACTTTAAAGTAATAGAAAATAGAATAAGTGTTGATATGATACACAGTAACACAAAATAGAAGCATTTGTAATGCTTTATACAACGACATCATAACCACATGTTCCTAAAAATCATTCATTTAACAGATTGATTTATCACATCAAATCCTCAATATAGCTGAGTTTTCTACAATAAATTTAAACATAACAATTTAAAAAATAATAATAATAATAATAATAACACAAAATAGAAGGATTTGTAATGCTTTATAAAACGACATCATAACCACATGTTCCTAAAAATCATTCATTAACAGATTGATTTATCACATCAAATCCTCAATATAGCTGAGTTTTCTGCAATAAATTTAAACATAACAATTTAAAAAAAAAAAATAATAATAATAATAATAATAACAAGAAGGCTTAGAATCTGTCTAACCTCAAAGCCAGCATCAAATGGAAGGCGGGAAGCAATCTCTTTACTCCCCCCGCTGAAATACCTTCCTGAGCTAAAATTTACCTGTATGAAATGTTCATTTATTAATGTGTGCGTGTGAGATAGAGAGAGTCATTAACACAATCAATCCCTTACTTTCAAGTGCAACTAAAATACCTTAGCTAGGCAAGACTGTAAATTAAGTTAACGTTCATAAACAAAGTGCCCAAAAGCTAAACTCTAGGCATATATTAGTTCTTTTTTTAAGGTAAGCAACAAAAGCATAAAGTAATGGTGATTATAAATGTGAGAGAAAACTTACATCACTAGCATTAACTCCAGCATATATAATTTTCAAGAGAACATCATTTGCTTCAAGTGGAAATCTCAATGATGTCCGGACCACACTTGTTGCACTACGGAAGTTCTGACTCAGAGTGTGAACAATTCTATAGACAAGATGGGGAGTGCAAATGTTAAAAATATATAAATCAAAATCAATATATTGGAATAGTGACCTGTCCAATAAATACAAGTCAAGAAGAATGGATGCATGTTCACTTATTAAAACTGGAATAAACATGACAAGAAAAGAAGGTGACCGTAATGACAAGTATATTAACAATATAAAAAATAGAACTACAAGGGCAACTTATTTAAAAATGTGGAATAATTGTTGGGTTTGCGGAATCCTTTCAAATATTTTCTATGCAGGTAAAGATTTCATCATTTGTTACAAGATTCAATATTCCTTGAGGAAATTCCATTTGTAGCACCCCAAACTTTTGTGGACAAGAGTGCTGGGAGGAATAAAACCAACCAAACAGAACTATAATCACAACTTGGCTGTTCATTTTATGTGATAATCCCGAAATTCAAATAATACCAATTTTTATTTATGCCAACAAAAATTTATCTTCATTTTCACAGGCAAAAGTAAACGGTTTTTTACTTTTGACTTACATCTTCTCAAAACTTTGGGGAATCTGGATATTCACTGGGGCCACATCAACATATTTTCTTCTTGTCGTCCTTGGGTGTACACGGAATTTTTCTTCTTCATCAGGACTTGGCCAATACTCCAAGCCCCTTCGGTTAGAGATCCACAAGCAAGCCCCAGCTTTAGTTTCATTGCTAATAAGTTCAAAGGCACCTGAATAAGATAGGAATTTAGAATCACTACAAAGCCCTGAACCACATCTAAAGCATTATTCGTTTTGTATGAGCTCCTATAGGGGGGGCGGGGGTGGATGCCCAATGGGAGTAGAACTCACGTACACATTTCCAAACTCCCCTCCTGGATATTTGTATTTCATTGGATATAAACCTTTATAGGCTTTGCAATGTGCAAGCATATAACATAATGCATGAGGAAATCAAAATATGTACACACACTAGGAAATGTGCAATTACTAAGCGACAAGAAATCACATTAGGAAATGAATTTTCTGACAACCAAAATATATGCAACACATTAAAGTTCCATAATCCAAAACTACAGTCAAGAATGGTAAAACAAGGATAGGACATCATGCTTTCTGGTCAAACCAACCAGAAAAGTAGTTAAGATTGTGCTTATGTTTCTGACTACAATGGCACTATGAACCAATCTTTACCTTCTGAAAAAATAAGACCAAAGCAATTCAAGACATCATGATGCAACAAAAGAAATTGATGTTTAGGCTATTACTGACAAATAACAGAAAGCAAAGTTCGCGGAGTGTAAAACTTACAAAAAATATAAAAAATAAAAAAATAAAAATCACTGTTTTCTTCTGTGAATAATTTTGACAAGACCAAACTAACTCATATTAGATCATTATTACTCATATCCATCTACATACACACTGATTGTAAAAATTGTGCAAAGATGACATAATATAAGTATATACTTCACTGTTAAAAGCTACAGTGTGAATTGTGTTCCTATTGTGTTTCACCAGTATAGAATTTCATATACAGAAAATATATGTGCTATGGTAACAGTAAAATTATCCCAAGCTATTAAAATTGGTATAAATTTCCAATAAATAGATGATGAAGGCAATCCTGCGCATACTGGATAACATATTATTTTGAGTAATATTTACCTTTCACAACCATTTCCATTGGCACATAGCCCCCGACCAATTTGATAAACTTAGGATCTACCTTAGCTGCCAACTCAGTCTGAACAAACTGCAGCAGATAAAACTAAAAGTAAATAAACAGTCTTTGCATTTGCCTGTAGTCAGTCTAGAGTTCAGGTAAGATGGCTATCATAAAGCAATTACATATTACCAAGTAGATGACGTTTCTGCAGTATTAGTAATATCTAATGCAAAATTTTAGAAAGCATGGTATAGTGAAAGGAGAACAGGTCAAGAAAATTTCAGCAACTCTATATCCAAGTTAACAAATTTTATAAATTGATTTCAAGTTAAAACAGTATAGATGCTTAAAAGTACACTTACAATCATAGCTTTAACCGAGACAATACATAATAACAACTCACGTTGCTTCCAAGGTCTTGTCAAAACAGATAGAAATTTTAAGAATTTAACAGTAATTGAAAATCTATGATAATGTAAATGACTGTGCTTCTAAATTTTCATTCAATGGTTGCTGTTTGATTGCTCATATGCTCTTTTTGTATCCAATTCTTTTCTAGCAGAAGAAGTGGATATAGGAATATATGGTTCCATGTACTAGAAGTTAGAAATGATCGTTCTTGAGTTAAGGATCTAAGTCACTTGGCAAAATTAAGAACTACACAGCTCCCTGACTCTGTGGTGTTCCATCACAGCAACAACATTTTTTTTCTCCTCTCTCTCTCCTACAAGTCATTAGCTATATTTAAGAATGCTAGACAAGAAGGTTAGTATCATCTTCAACGTAAAAATGGTTTAAGATGAATGCCAAACCTAGATTTGAATTTACATTTTGTAAAGAGTAGTAAGTAATAAAATAACCACGAGGTATGCTCACCTCAGGGCATAGTGCATTTACACGGATTCCTCGACGCTTGTAAAAACCGAGTGATCTTGAGAACATAACTACTCCTCCTGAGGAAACAATTATAACTGATCAGCACAAAAAGGTTACCTGGAACCAAAGAGAAAACAGGCATATATCAAGATTAACTATAATAATCACTGATGCAAAGCAAAAATAGTACAAGAATAAACATACAAAAAGAAAAGATCGATAAACCTTTAGAGCCTGAGTAGATTGGATCAGCATACATTGGATATAACCCTGAGGCAGAGCCGACATTAATAATGACCCCAGGTTTCTCAGATTCTTCCATTACCCTAATCTGAGCACCAAAAGTAATTAGCAATCAGAACCTCCAGAAATCAAATCAAAGATGCTAACAAAAACTATACATGGCAGAACGAAGTCAACAATCCTATTAAATCTGTTGTGATTAAAGCCAGTGGAAGAATCCAACAAAACAACTCCAGGAACAGTTTAAAGATTCAGAAATCCGTTAAAACATGAAATTATTCAAACAAGATTGATTGTTTAACATTATATATGATCCTTAGTTCTATTCCACTTCCAAAAACAATCTTCCACAACTTCACAAACCCCAACTCTAAAAGCCCAATTTGCAGAGCTCCAAGAACACTGACACAATAAAAATACTAAACTCAAGCTCATACCGCAAGTTGAGTGGTGCTAATAACGGCAAGAAAATTGACATCAACGGCGCGTCTCCACGATTTAGATCCATCAGTTTTATCCTTATGAAACATGATAGGAGTCACAATCCCCGCACAGGAAATGCAAACATCCAATCCTCCGTAAGTCTCAACATGCTTCTCGAAAGCCGCAGCCAATCCAGCTTCACATAAAACATAACAGTTCGCAGATTAATTCCACCAGAGCACACAATCAATCGGAAAAACTCTTCCGCACAAAAAATATTCTATCAACACATCTCTAACTAACCTGAATCGGTGACATCGCATTTGACGAAGATTACAGGCGGAAATTCCAATCCGGTTTTGTGGAACTTGGCAACTTCCTTCTCAGCAAGCGAGACCACTTCTCTCCCTCTCTCTCCAGAAAAATCCACAATCGTGATGAAAACTCCTCTCCGTGCTAGAGCCAGCACCAGCGCTTGGCCGATTCCGGCAGCGCCGCCGGTGACAAGTGCGGAATGGCCTGGCCGGAGCTCCATCAAGTCAAAATTTCGGCTGTTATTCCGACGAATAAAATATACAAGCAATTATCGCCAAACACTTTCCATATATATATATTTACACACATCCATATTTGAAGCTTTTTTCTTTTTTTCTTTTTTTTTTTTTTAAATATTAATTTATTTTTAATTATTAATAGTCTTTCGGTCCTAATTAATTGACCGTGGTCCGTGTTACTGAGATAATAATAGTAATTTAAGATATTACTTTATTTTTATTCATATAAATAGTGATATTAATATTTTTAAAATAAAAATTAATATATATGATTTAAAAAATTTAAATATGTATTTTAAATCATGTATCTTACTAAAATATACTATTTTTGTCCGGCTTTAATATCCATTTATTTTTTATCGTATTGATATTTGAATATTAATTATTATATCAAAACATAATATAATTTTTAAAAAAATTATAAAAATGATCTTACAATACTAATAGAAGAATTTTTATAAAAAAAAATTAATTATACAATATATTTTTAATATTAAGTAGAATGAGAAAAAAAGTAAATGTAACTACTGACGGATGAGGAAGTATTATTTTATAGAAAATAAGATTTTATATAATTCAATTAAATAATATTTTTTTATTAATAATTAATATAAATAAATTGTTTTTAAAAAAATAAAAAGAATTTGAATAATTTTTTTTTAAAAAAATAATAAAATTAAACAGTTAAAAGTTTTAATTAAATTAATTTATATTTATTAATTTAATATAAAAAATTATATCCATTAAAATATGACCCAGAAATTATTATAAATGTGTGTCCACTGGGCCGTTTTGTCATTCATTCATTACGGCGACGACCGTACATACTCATATACATACGTAAATACAACTCCGCCACTGGTAAATACCGTATATATTTATATTTGTTTTTTTCAAGGGTGTGTTTGTTTAGGGATTTGAATTTCAAAGTTAGGATTTGAATATAAAAAATTTTGAATTTGAGTAGTTGTATGATGTGATATAAATAGGTGTTGATGTGATATTTTGAATATAAAATTAATTTTTAGTATAATATAAAAAATAATAAATAGGTGTTTAATTTGATATTTTTGGAAAAAAAATAGGATGAATAGTGGATTTAAAATCCCAAACAAACACACCCAGATCTTACAAAATATACTTGTATTTTTTTCTATAAATTTTAATGTGAATGAATAATTACTCTTTCCTTCTATAATATTTTTTAAATAAAAAATATATACTATTATTATAGACATTTAAATTTATGAGTACTTATTTATATAAACAATTATTATATTAAATCAAAATACATGGATTTTATATAAATACTACTAACTACTGCTCACTCAGTTCTTACATTATATGGATCTATTATGGTATATACTGTAATTTAGATAAATAAATTAATTAATAAGTAATTAATAAATATATTAATAAAATAATTATTATATGGTAAAAAATATTATAAATTAAGAGTAAAATATATATATATGTAATTTAATATATAATTAAAATATATAATTATATTTATTAAAAAAGATAAATTATGTAGAATAGATAAAAAAAAATAAGAACAAATTATATGAGATCGAGGGAATACCATTTAAATAATGATCATGCATTCAATAAATTTATTTGGTTTTATGTACACAAAAGTTACAAAATAATGACATTTCAATATTAAAATAAAATGTGTAAAAAATATATATGAGTACTATAAAAAAAAAATTATTAAAGAATTATATAGAAAATAATAGAGGATGTAGACTTATAAATTATTATTTATTAAAACAAAAATAATAAATTACGGGTGAATGTGTTTGTTTAGTGTTTTAATATAATAAATAATACTTTTTCATCCCGAATGTAAATACATATTTAAACTTTTGTAGTAAGTTAAAACAAATATATTCCTTAAGTCCGCTCTAATGTATTCATTTTTTTTTTATAATAAATTAAAGAATAATACTCCTTCCGTTTCATATATTTTGTGCTATTACTGTAGATACGAGAATTTAGGTAAAGTATAATTAGTAAATAATTAATAGTGTATTAATAAAAATAATTACTATTATTTAATAAAAATTATTATAAATTAACATTAAGATAACTAAATAGTTTAATTAAGATTAAAAAAATTATAAAATTTAAATTTAAAGTGTATAATCATATTTCAAAAAAAAATGACAAATTATATAGGACGGACGACAATATAAGATATGGACAAATTATATGTGACGGAGAGAGTATTCCACATCATTCAAATTTATGTTCACTTTATTTTTTTTAGTTGTCAACTTGTCATAAAAAATATTACTAGTTTTTTATTTTTTATCAAAAAAATTAAGTTTTATACTTTTTACCATAAAAAGTATAAAAGAGATAATTATTACTTACTTTTATTAAAACTAGTCCACAAATATTTTAATACACAATTGGATGACGAATATAATAGTATTTTATTTGTTAGTGAAAGTACAAATGAAATAAATATTTTTATAAAAGTTATTGGTATTTTTTATATTTAAATATGATTAATTTTACTATAATATGAAATGAATATTTTTTAGTGGAATCGATGAAAATGGTAAATTTGGTACATTGAGTTGAGACGGAGGGGAATCGTTTTTTAGTGGAAGTGTGTAAAATGGTTTTAATACTTTTGTGTTTTGTACTTTATGTATATGTGTAACGGTAAATTTGAAATTTATTTAAAAATTAAAGTTATATTTATTATACTAGAAAACAAATAGTATTTTTTTTAGTGTGACCGATAAAAATTGTAAGAAAAATATTTTGATTTGGAACTGTTATATCCAAAAATTTGAATATTCTAATTTGGCTTAAGAAAATCGATCGAAAAATGAATATGAGATCCCTAGGGCACTTAAAAAAACCCTAGTAAAAATATTTCTTATCTAGAGAAAATAGATTTAGCTGAAAATAGGTCTGAAAAAACAAACTGAAAAAAAACTTTAAAAATAAAATTTTATTAAAACTTGAAAAAAAAAAAAAAAAAACAAACTGAAAAGTACATATAAAACCAAAGTATTGTTGGATATAAAGATGAAAAATAAAGTATTGTCCCATATAATTTCAATCTAATTATTTTTTTCCAAAACGATTCCTAATATATAATATTCTCTTCGTCCGGTTCTAAGATTTTATTTACTTTTTTGTCATTGTATTTAACATTAAAAATATTCTTATATTTGTATAATTTTATAAGATACTAATAGAAATATTTTTTTTTTCTTGTACTACTGTTGATGTAATTTTTCAACAAAAATAAAGTAAAATTCAAAGATATAGAAAATATCCTTAAACTTGATTAATTAGTGCCTGAGATTAGGAATCTCTAAACACTGTATGGTACAGAAAATAAACTGGAAAATAAAATACTGAAATTTAAAGTGGTGATCCCCAAATCTGACTTTGCTTTGTTGAAGTTGATTGAAGATGCCTTTTCAGAATAAATCTGAATCCTTAAATAACCTTTGAAGAAAACGGTTTGAACCGCCGTCTGGTCGGTTACAGCAACCGCTGTCAACCGACCACCAATTTCTCCTCTATTGACACGTATTACAACTTCCTTCAACCGTTCCCACCAGTCACAGAACTCAGACCTGCCTCTTACCCGACCTGCCTGTCCACTGCCAAATTTCTTTTGCCCGACTTCGTCCTTCGCCCGACCTGCTTCTTCGCCCGACCTCACTTGGCCGACCTCCGCATCAGCCGCCCTCCGTCTTTGACACTTGGCCGACCTCCGCATCAGCCGCCCTCCGTCTTTGACCGAAGACCTCCGCGTCTGTCCGTACCTCTTCCTTGCCCGACCTTCCTCTTGACAGACCTCCGCGTCTGCCCGACCTTCCTCTTGACAGACCTCCGCGTCTGCCCGACTTCGCCTTCCATCCGATCTACGGTTTACCCGACTTGGGTACACCTTTTTTTTTAGACTCCGCCCGACCTTTCTTCCTTTTCCCGACCTTTATTCTGCCCGACCTCCAGACCTTTTGGCTTTCATTCAGACCCTACCCAGAATCCTACTGCCACTTACTATTATTATTATTTTTTGTGCTTAACAACTACGTTTTCATATAATAATTAATATTCAAATATCAATACGCAAAAAGTGAATGGATCCTTTATAATCAAACGGAGGTAATATATTACTCCCTCTGTCCCGAAACTATAGTCTTGATTATGTTGGACACGAGATTTAAGGAGTATTGATATTACATTGACAGTGGATAAAAGGTGTAGGTAAAAGACATTTTTGCCCTTGTGAGTGTATTAATGTAAAAGGTAGTGGCAATTGTATAATAATAATGAAAAAGTAAGGATAACTATACAGTGATATGATTATTTATGAAAATAAGACTATTGTTTTGAAACAGACAAAAATAATAAACAAGACTATTGTATTAGGACGAAAGAAGTATATTTTATCATCTAAAAAAAATTAACATTAAATATAAAATATTATTTTTATATTAAAAAAATATATTTCAAACCAAAACACTAAACAAACAAATTAATTGAGAATTGTCTATTACTGAATAAGCAAAACCTAATTAAATTCGAAATGTGGGTCCAATTTCGTATTTATTTATTCATGTGTGTATATAATCACACGAATGTTATCCTTCTCAAACATTGGGTCGAAAATATTTTAATATTTTATGAAAAAAACTAATATACTCTTATAAAAAAATGATTAGGACTAAATAATATTGATTCTTGTTTGATCAAATATATTTTTTATTCTTCAATAAAAATACATTATTTATTTGAATAAAATATCTAAAAATAATAAATATAAATATTATAATACTTTCTTTGTCCCGGGTCAAATAATATAAATTGATAAATTATTAATAATAAATTATAATATTATTTTATTATTTTTTATATGAATAGTATTATTGATATTTTAAATATTTTTAATTTTATATCTCAATAAAATATATACAATATAAAAATTATGAATAAAATTTATATAATATAAATAGTTAAAAACATTTATTTTTTATTATCATAAATTAATTTTATAAAACAAAAAAAAAAAAAAAAAAAAAAAGAAGAAGAAGAAGATAGAAATAAATCTGTGCTAGTATTCTAACAGGCGACTTCTACTATATTTATATATAAAATTCAACAAAATAATGATAACACAAAATACAAAAACAAATATGGCAAGATGAAAATGCAAAAACACATGAAGTATGTTATAATAATACTAATATGAAATAATTTTATACGACATTGACAGTACCGCAGCCGTTACCTGAAAGTGCGCATTGGGTAAACCCCTAGCCGAACCTAATATCCTGCAAATCAGACCCGACGAGAAAGTCACACAAGACGAACCATATGTGGCAGGTGACCGAAAACTTAGGGAGTTTAAACTCATGACCTCACGGTCACAAATCTAACTCCTACAAAATGTGTTGTGTTGTTTCATATGTATCCATTAAGAAAATCAATACCAACAACACCACCTACATAGTATTGATTTTTCATTCAACATTATAAAAAATCCGTTTTAATAACTAGCATAAAAATTCTAAAAATTTCTAAATACTAAACAAACACAATAATACACTCTTCGGCCCAATTAAAGGTAACATATTTACAATTTCCGTCTATCCAATTCAGTAGTACTTCTTCCGTCCTCATTACCTTTTTATTTCCGTATGTCCCACTTATTCCGTCACTTTCCTTTTTTTAAAAATATTATACACTTATTTTATTTTGTTTAATTTTAATTATACTAATTAGTTATATTAATTTTAATTTAAAATTATTTTTATTAAATAATAATAATTTTCACTAATATATTCTTAATTATTCATTAATTATACTCCTTATAAATTCTCATGTCTACCGTAAATGGCACATCATATCCCGGACAGAGGAAGTATCAATTTACTATTATAGTAAAAATCATTGCATACTAATACCAAAACATTTTTTAACGTTTATATAAATTACAAATATATCACTGCACATATAATTAATTTATACATAAAGTACATAAGGCAAAAACATAAAAAATCATCTTATACATTTCTATAAATCAATAAAATATTACTCTCTCCGTTCCAAGTCAATATTTTTTTTATCATTTTTATCGATCTCACTTAAAAATATTTATTTCTTATGACATTAAAAATAATCATATATATATATATACACCAAAATATTCTTAATTTTTACATATATTAGAAACATACATTATGTATATCTATGCACAAATTTTCTGCTTGTATATTTTCTAGGGTTAATTCTCCTAAAATCTCAAATTCCTAAATCATTTTCGTTATAAGTTTCTATTTATATAATTTTTTCATTTAGCTCCATATTTATTCCACGTCACTCCCTGTTTGTAATTATTACATATTTTTACCCATTTTACCCTCTAAGTAACTTTTTATTCATATTTTTATCCACCAAATATAATCCAAAACCCTTAAATAAATAATATTTAATTATATTATTTGTTTATCTATAGAACAAATCTATTTATTTTATATAAATAAATTTTGTATATAAAATTTATTTACTTATAACTCAATAATTTTTACAAAATTTGTTATAATACATTAGTTTTTATTATATAAAAATATTTTTTTAAATAAAAATTCATTATTTTCAGCTTGTTTATTATATTACTCATACTTATATTTAATTGAATTCAATATTTTTCTTATAAATATTTTATATAATTATAATGTAAGAGTTATGAGTACTTTTGTATTATATATTTTATTATTATTATTATTATTATTATTATTATTATTATTATTATTATTTCTTGTCAATTATTATTATTTTTTTTTGTAATCTTTTATTTTATACTCCCTCCGTAAGCTAAAATTATACATTTAGAGTGTATAGGTAAAAGTAATGAAATGACATTTTTGCCCGTATTTTTTTTTTTTTATAAAAATAATAATGTAATGTAAAGCAAGAGTATTCGTGGAAAAGAACGGGGTATGTAATAAAATGGTTACTTTGTAATTGAACGTCCCAAAATAGAAATATGTATACTTTCTAGTTGGATGGAAGAAGTATTTAAATTAATAAAAAATATAAATAAATTATAAAAATTATAGTGTAGTTGAAAAAAAGAAAGAAGAATGATAAAGAAATTAAATAAGGGTACTATAGGATTTTTAAGTGAAAGAATAAATTTGTAAAAATAAAGAGTAAAGAAAATAAAATAAATGTATAGAGAATAAATAAGAATATGAATATAAAATTAGGGAGATACTCAAAAATTGTCCTATTTTCTATGTGCAAATTATGACAAACTAACACAGCAATGATTAACTCCAATCAGCCCAGTAATCAATCCAAATATGAGCGGTTGATTAAATAAAATTTATTGAACAAAATAAAACAATAAGAACTCATGCACTTATACTTCCAAAATCACCATAATTCCTTTCTATACGAATATGTAGTAACTAATTAACTATTGGCTATATAATGAAACAATGCTCATTTCATGTGTGGTTTTTTTTGTTGATGAGATGAGATTACTAAGCATCAAGATGATCAAAAACATGTGTATGGTCACACATTATTTGAAATCATCATCAGCATCATTTACGCAGGCAGTCGAGAGTCGACCAAAAGGAATTCGAAAGCAGTTAGACGAGAGCGTCGAAAGAGAGTTACCTTGTGAAGCTTTCGCGCGTTTCGACTGTGGGCTTGGAAGAGTTGGCTTTAGATTGAATGAGGCTCCCTTTTGGTGCCTGTTTGGCACTATTGCTTGTAAGGATGAAGCTTTCCGGGCATTCCATTGGTTTTTGTGATCGTCTACTTCGTCGGCAAGTGGTCTGATAGCTGATTCGATTGGGGCAAGCTTGCCCTCTACTTGGTTTGTGAACACAAATGAAACCTGTAAGCATGTAAGAACAATTAATGTGTTGTAGTAGTTTTGTGTGATAAAAAGCTCGATGGTGTGTTCGTGTTTATATTATTAGTAATGAAGCTAAGACATATAAATAAGCATAGATTCAAATAGTAACTTAATCTAAATAATAGAAATCTCATTTAAATCTTGAAGTAAATATTTAAAATATATTAGCATCCATTTCAAACTCAAATAGTGTTGCAAAAAATACTTGGGTTTATTAAGAGAGATCGAAGATGATAGTAGTCAAATTTGTCCACTGCGACGCTCTCAGCTGAGTTAGAATTGAAAATAGGATTTGCTCACAACGGAGTCAGAGTAAAAAACAAGACTAGACACAGTTAGAGTCGGAATCAAGACAAACAATCACAGGTCGAACATAAATTTTATTGAAACTGAAAAACAAATTTGACAAAAAATGAATTTGGTAGACTGGAATTTGCAGAAGACTTCCGAATACATTCCAAACTGAAGGTACCAAGAGAAACATAACTTTGATACCATGTTATATTTTGAAAAATTTTAAAATTGCGAAACAAAACCTATAAGTAAGCATGAATGCATGATACAAATTCAATTGAGTAAAATGATAATAATTTAATCTAATAGATATAACCAAACAATAATGACCTCATTTAAATACTAGAAATCTAATCTAAACTGTAATAACAGTGTTGGCTTACCTCATTTCCTGCTGAAGACTGAAATATGGAGTCGGGAACAGATGATGGAGAATGGTGATGTCCCCAGAGAGGTAAATCCTCTTCCTTTGGAGATCCAACCTGTCGAACAACCAGTTGTTATATGTTTCTGAGCAAACGGTCGTAATCTAAAGCGACAAATATGAATGTTATGAGGGCAATGGACCTGTTTTTCGTGGGGTTTTAAGTTGTCAAAGCACCCGGATATAGCTGCAAAGCCCCCTATATCAGTCTCTTCATTAGGCTGGACAGACTCACACTCGCTCGTGTCGTTGCTTCCTTGTTGATCGCAACGGTTGCAACACATTTTCTCATGAATTTCGGAGCTGCATTGTTCATTATCATGAGCCTAGCTTCATCAAGTTTATGACTAATGTTGAAGATTAGAAGAATTTAAAGAAATGGATAACCTTGCACTCTCACGAAATGTGAACAAGTCGCGAAGATCCTCTGTGGAAAGGAGATTTCCCTGTTGTAAGAATGAACTCCATGTCATGCAAACAGGATGAACTACAGATTCAACACAGATTATACGTGAAAAGAAACATGTACATGCGTACGCTACCTTTTCAGAATCAAAAGAAACATGTACGTGCGTACGCTACCTTTTCAGAATCTGTTTGCTCTTGCTGTATGACTTTCTGAAGTCCTTCTTTCGACATCTGGCGCTGGTATACCTGAAGAGAAATTGGAGCATCACATAATTGCTTGACGAGTGGCACATATTGAAATAGAGAAGTGAATCCATTTGGAATATACTGCATCGAACCTTTTCTTCAATTGTTCCAGCACTCAAAAACCTATAGATGTAGACTCTCTTCTTCTGTCCATCCCTCCAGACTCTTGCTGCAGCCTGCAGAGTTACTATTTAAATTGAGCATATGATGCCGATTTGAGACAAGCTAACAGTATGATGTTATTGAAGGACAACTTACCTGTTTATCATTGGCTGGATTCCAATCAGGATCGAAAAGAACCAGGCGATTGCCACCGATTAAATTAAGGCCACAGCCTCCGGCTTTGCTGCTCAGAAGAAATGCAAACTCATCCTGAAAAATTTATTGGTAGAGAACCGATTGATGGCCGAACTTGCACAGCATGAACAAGGCTTCTAATAGAAAACATTATGTACCTTAGATGGATCGTTGAAACGATTGACCAACTTCTGTCTCTTGCTGATTGATGTAGTTCCATCAAGTCTTAGATAAGGATATCTTCGTTCTCGACATATTTGAGCAAAAAGATCCAACGTCTACAAGGAAAAGGAAGATAAACAGAATAGGCAAACTTCAGCAAGACATGGTACATTGAATAGATATAAGCATGGTTTACCATTTGGACAGCTAGGAGTCAGTACCTGTGTATAATTTGAAACTAGAACAATTCTATCATCTGTTCTCCGACGGAGTTGAGCAAGCAATCGGGCCAACACATGCATTTTTCCAGAGAGTTCAACCCATGCCCCATCACCACCAGTCCACATTCCAGATCTGAAGAATTTTCATATGATATGAGGAGTCGGCCATTGTAATTCAGCCCGGAAAACAAGAACTCGGAGGTGAAGGACTTACCTTCCAGAGAACATTTCTTGTGGAAAGAAACGCAAGCAATCCTCAAACTCTGACATTCCTGGACTCTTACTTTTTATTGTATCATAAATTAGCTTCAAGTAAATGTATCAGGTGTTAGTTTCTGATCAAAACTGCAGATGGATCATAAAACTGCTACAATAAACATTTTCATAGCAGGATTGAGATCTATGAATATTATTAACCCTTTCCACAGGCTTTCAAGGAGATTAAGTTCAATGGGAGATAGAGACTACTAGAATTATTTTTAAGGCTAGATGCCTCATCCTAAGATGATTATCAATTATATTCACTGAAAATGAGACAATGAAAAGATCAAACACACAGACATGAATGTCAAGTCATATTCATCGCACTGTTTGTGAAAGAAAATATGTATAACTAACCAGGGAATGGATTGCAATGGCTTGTATCGGATCCTCGGGTTACTTGAGCTTTTTATAGCACCTATTGCATGAGCTTATGTGAACATCATTCTACATTTTTGCACTAACAGCAGAGCTTTGGGATGGACTAACCACTCTTTTAGTGACTGATCAAACTAGATTGCACATTTCATAACCTAAATGAATATATAGTGTGGAACTCCATTTCCAGAAGAAATCTTTAAATTAAACTATCTTCATTCTAGAATATTTGGTCTTCGTTGGTATAATGGGAAACTAATGCAGCAATAAACTATTAGTCAACAAAACTTCCGTGATTGATATGAAATCATGATAAGATCTGTTGACCTACAATATAATGGAATGAAACTAAACCTAAAGAGAATTGTATCTACACAGATTCATAATCCTACAATGAAAATGTACCTTGGGGTGATTGCAGAGCTTCTTAAGAGCAGTTATATATGCTAAAATCTTCGAGTGCTTGGCCTCTTCTGTAATCACTCTTTTAACCTGCGCTTGGAAACTTTGACAGTGAGAATTACTTCTCATATGGAGAATGAAACAGAAGGATAAGCTTATGCAAAGTTGCAGACTGCAAGAAAATCAGTCTTACATTTTTTGAATGTATAAAATGGTTGTACAGCACGGCTTGAAGAGGTGTCAACTTGCAGCACACAACTTCGACTAACTGTTGCAAAGGATTGACCGGAAATTAATATGTAAGGACAACAGGAAAATTGTTTTTAGATATCAATAAGGACTCATGGAATGTGACAATAACTCTTCCATAGCAGCAAAAATATCTCAGATTTCAGAATTTCAAGTTCCAGGTTTAGAAGTATGATGTTGGTCATTCAGTAAGAAAAGAACAATATGAAATATACAAAAAATGACGAGATAAGAGAATTTGAACTTTGATCATTAGCCAGATTTTACCAAAAAATGCAAAAAGTTTCAAATGTACCACTATCAACTTTGGTCCTTCATTTGATATTTGTGTATGACAGTAGTGTGCTATTTAAATTAAGAGTAAGTGTGCAAATACATCAAACAAATCAAGACATGCCCCCTTCTGTCTAATGGTAATGTAGAATGAAAAGAATTGTGAAAAAATTATATGTATAGATATCCAGGTAATCTTGGGAACTTTTAGCACCTTGCAGTCCCATTTGAAACAATGGATTCTTTGCCAGTATTAAAAAGTTGGACAATGAGTTCCTCGGACTCAGCAATATTTTTCAGAGAAAATCTAATCAAACCAAAATAACAGACAATTCACTAAACATGACAGCCATGCAACTCATGAGTAACAAGATGCTAAAAGGTATGCACTATACAAATCAGAGTACCTTCGGCGGTAAGTGGTTAGACAGTAGAGCATTAGTCCTCCGCAATATAAACTGCAAACATAAACAAATAAACGGTATGAAATCATGTGAAACTTCAGTGTTGTGGTTTATTTATTGCAATCCACATATGAACTCTGATAAACAAGACATTAGTGAATAATAAAGAAAGTTTGGTACCATAATGGAACTTAATCAACCTTTTGAGAACAGGTTCAAGAACATAGATTTGTGAATGTTACCTGATTTACTTTGGCACTCAGTTCTGCAGATCGCTCGGAACCAAGTTTCTTTTCCTCCTCAGTAGATGTTGGCTCTCGACCACAAATTATTGGCATCTTTAAGGTGAATGGAGAGAATCCATTAGAGCAAATATATAATATATTCTAGAGGAACAATGACTTGACACATAAAAATGCATGTCCTACTGCGCCAATGCTTTGATGTTGAACACAAAAGCACCTTGGATTGCCAAAATTGGGTTTTAAGAATGTATATATATAGAATTATATATAGATATAAAACGGAAGAACAGTGATATTCCTCAGTTTTGAATTCCATGAACATAGTATACCTCATAATAGCGCCGAAAATATGCAGCATCGCCCAATATTCCAGGATTGGTGAAGTTAACCATGGCGTAGAACTCCTCAAGATCATTCTAAGTTTGAGTAGAATACAAGAAAACAAAATTCTTGATAAGCAAATGGAAAAGTTATTACAAAAAGGAAGTAACTGTTAAAGAAGAAAAAAAAGGCTCACTTGCATGGGAGTTCCTGACAATAGAATACGACGCTGGCAGGATAAAGAAGCTAATGCCTGATCCATGAGTAAATTAATTTCATCTCATGTCCACATATTGACTTCAGTTGAGAAAATAAAATCAATATCGAAACATTAGAGTATCTTACTCGATTTGTCAATGTTTGGTCATTCTTTAGCCTGTGAGCCTCATCACATATAAGTAGGTCACAGGATTCACTTTGGCTGAATTTTGAAGAATGCATACGAAACGTCTCATATGAGACAATCAAAACCTGTAACACATCAACTAAGCCGTCAGTTATAACCATTAGCTAAAAATTCACACGGCACCAAGAAACAACCTGCAAAGGACTGCGTGGACTGGTGAAACTGTCAATGCCAGAAACAACATCCTCTCGAGTACTTTCACAAAGAGCAAGAAGCCGCACTCTTTCCCCAACCCATTTCTTGATCTCAGCTTCCCAATTACTAACTAGACTGGTGGGAGTCACAATTATAGCTTTCTTAACCATGGGTTTCCCATCAAATCCCTGGCATAGAAGAGTGTAGAGCAATGTGATTGATTGCAAGGTCTTGCCTAATCTGAACAAGAACAAATCAAAGAAACAGAATATATCAACAGCATGAGGCATAAATTGAAAAACCATTGTTTTAAAAATATAATGTTAATCAAATTAGTGAAATTTTTACCCCATATCATCAGCCAAAATGCACCCGTTGATGTTGGCAGCAGTAAGGATACCGGAAACACAGTCAAACATAAAATGCACCCCTTCTCTGCGAGTAAAATCGGGTGAAACTTCAAATGAATAACGTAAACAACATCACCACAGAAAATTCATCCTTGTTTGTATTTGTCTGGTTGACACTAAAAAAAGTGATAGGAAATCCTTTCATACTGATGCGGTGGGTGGCAGGCCAAGTACAATGGTAATTTTACTACTCTACTAGCATTAATGTCTAGAAAGCATAAATACAACTACCATTGTCCATTAATTCAAGATGCACTTCAATTCACTTAAGGGTTTGAAATTCTAAGACACTTTAAACAATATTTTTCTGTACCTTTGATGTGGCCGGAGAAATTTCACTAGCAATGGATCTACGACTATGGAAGTAAAGATACTGTCTTTCTCTTTGGAATCTTCTGGCAGCCATAATACCAGAGGTTCGATACCGGGAGGCAGTGACACACTCTCCTCTGGATAATCTTCCTCAATGGTAGATGGAGAATTAAACCTGTTTGTGATGTTAACTAACACAGGCCTCGTGGATCCCCACGGCACAAACCTCTTGCGAGCCGAAAGCCGCCGTGCCAGCTGCTCTTTATTCTCAGAATAACCACTTGATGAGGGAGGCTTAAAGGGCTTCCGTAAAGTGGCATCTGCATCAGTCACAGAATACACTCGCGGAAATAGCGATTGCCGCTTAACTTCTAGGTTTCCCCTGATTTAGATACATAATACCATCAGAAGGAAAACAATACATGTAAGGGGCAGCAAAATTAATGCCTGAAACAATAGAAAACTACTGCATTTCATAGTTGCCGATGCTAAAGTCGCTTGCAATGTCAGCTAAGCTTGATGAAGAAAGTTTTGCATAAAATCAAATCCGAAACAATTAAACCCTAGCTTTAGCAATCCAATAACGCGCATACAGCAAGTTTCACCAGATTCAGTGCCTCCGAGTTAGAATCAAACATTGAGGTAATGAGTGAAGCAGATAACGAAGAAAACAAACCTAAGAAGCGCGTCTACGTTTTGCGACTTCCGCCGGCTGTTCTGCGGCGGAGCTGACTTCTGCTCTTCATCGGTAACTGCGTCGGAGTCCTCGGATTCGGACACGGATTCAGCGGAAGTGCGACAGTCGGATTCGGACTCCATTGACTCGGTGGAGTGAGAGGAATATTGTTCATCGTGTTCCATGATTGCTTGCGTCGCCGTGTTTTTTGCACGGTCGGCAGCGGCGCTTCTATCTCTTGCTTTCAAACACAAATTTTGGCGGTGAAATTGATTCGGTACGAACATAATCTTTTCGTCGTATAAATGGATATAGAATTAGAAATACAGTATTAAAAATTTTGAATTAAAATAATCAAATAACACAATATAAACATATTTATATAATATTTTAAATATAAAATTATTTTTAAATATAATATAAAAAATAAAAATTAAATATCATCTTCTTCCATTATCGTTCTTTTGTAGCAAAATAAAGTATTCCTTTTTTTTTATATTTATTTATACGATATTTAAATATAGTATTAATATTTTTAAAATTAAATTAAAAAAATAAATGGATATATAAATATGAAATAGACGGACGAAGTATATGATTGAATTTTCTAATGAAAAAAAATTGATAAATAGTAAATATTTAAAAACAAAAAGTAAAAAATTAAATATTTAATTTGATATTTAGTGAGATTAAATATGCATTTATCTGATATTTTTTAAAAATAAATAATAATAAAAATTTGTGAAGTAAACAAATCCCAAACTTTTTTTTTGTTAAAAAAAAAAAACCAACAACGACGTCGACGAACAACTTAACTTCAACTCCAATCAAATAATACATCAATCTAAAGCTTTCATCCACATTCCTTACATGTTCACAACCACAACACACATGAATACATATACATACATACATTCATCCTAGTACATCGCCATTGTCCGAGTCATCATAGCCAAGAACTCGTCGGCGTCAACGACGCCGTCCCCGTTGGCGTCCACTGCCCTCACCATCCTCCGGCAATCTTGCAAGCTACAACGCTCCCCGAGCTTTTGCAACATCTCGTACACCTCGTCCACCGTAATTTTTCCGTCGTTGTCCTTGTCGAACATCTGGAACACGCGCATTAGGTCCGCCGTCTTGACCCACCCGCCCCTCCGTTGCACGTCGACGAACTCGTCGAAGTCGATGAACCCGTCGCGGTCCAAGTCGGCGACCTCGAATATCTTTTGCACCTCCTTCGTCAAGAACGCTCGATTCCCGATTGCCTTGAGTATCGCCTTGTACTCGTCGGGGGAGATTTTCCCGTCGCTGTTCGCGTCGAATTTGTCGAACACTTTCTTTAGCTCCTCGACGGTCGGCATGTAGCCCGTGCCCGCGCCCGCGCCCGTGCCTGAGTTTTGCTTCTCGAACATTCTAGAAGGTTTTCTCAAGAACTTACGTTTGGAGAGATTGTATTGGAGGTCGAGGAAGCTGAAGCTCGACATCTTCTTGTTTAAGGTTGTTCTAAAACAATAGGTTGAGTTTTTTTAGACAAAGAAATATGTGTATATATACATATATATATATATATATATATTTTTTAAGGTAAGGACGGAAATATATATTTTAGGGTCGGAACTCCATTAGGGTTTGGGGGTTAATTGACCCAAGCCAATTTTTTTATGATTTTTTAATATTAAAAATATTAATTTTTATGTATTTATATATAATTTGCTATCTCTAAACCATCTAAATTTATATATAAGAGTACTTGGAGAGCAAAGAAGTAAGATTCTTTGTAAAAGGAAAAGAGAAAAGGAAAGAATACATTCTTATTCTAATTTTGTGGTAACCCAAAAAGAATGTTGCTTTTTATTTATTTATTTATTTATTTTATGATGTTTTGGGCAAAAGAAAAATGTATTTTTTTTTTTTTTTATATATAGAGAAATGCAATTGTTGAATAATAATAATAATAATAATAATAATAATAATAATAATATACATAATACTATGTTTTTCGGAGTTTATTTTAGTTTTTTTATTATGTAATTTTGATGATTTTTTAAAAAATATATTATTTTTTCATACAAAATATTAAATTTAAATTACTATTCAAAGCAAATTTAAATTAAATTCAAAAATCAAAATCCAACAAATACACAAAAGAAATAGAGCCAAAAGTGAATTCGGACTATTCAATTACTTTTTAATTTTTTATTTTTTGAAAAAAACTACAATTGTTTTGGATGTGTTCGGTTGTAAAGTTTAGTTGAAAGTTGAGTTTATAGTTAAGTATGAGATATATTATTTGGTTATAATTTGCATTACTATATATTGTAATATTTAATAAAAATAAATTTATGTTTTAATAACTATTAATTTAATCTTCTATAATTTTTATTTTTTAATAATTTATATTTATAATAAAAATTTATTTACGATTGCACCGTTATTTTTTACTAAATTATTAAAAAAAAAAATTAAAGAGAAAAATATATGTTGATGGACATCCGAGTTTTAGATTTATGTGACTTTTTTTTGGTTCTTGATCTATAGTTGGATCCCGCCCCAACTTTCGTTCATCGGTGATATATATATATATATTTAAATAAATCTTTCTTACAATTTATTTACAATAATATATACTCTCTTTGTTTGCTCAAAAGGAAACCATTTTGTTATTTTCAATTGTTCAAATCATATGCAAAAATTTAAAAATAAATATGATTCAATTGCTCAAAAAAAAAATAAAAAAAATATATATATTAATAAGTATAGCTGATAAAAATAAATATGATTAAAAATTTCAAGTGGAACAAAGCACAAAAAAACCTAAATTGGGCCTTAAAAATTAAACCCAAAAGAATTTCAGACTGGGCCGGCCAAACCCAATTGAAAACCATACCAGGCTAGTGTTTGTGAAAATTGGGCTGATTTATGAAAAATAATAATAATAATAATAATAATAATAATAATAATAATAAATGAGTTTAAAAACATTTTAATAAATATATAATAGAATTAAAAATTATTTATATATTAAATATTTAAAGCCCTAAATTGCTCTTTCATACGAAATAGAAAAGGTTTTCTTCTTTAATTTATAATTTGTAAGTACGGTTTGGTGGTGTAGGGGTTGGACATGTAATGTGTTCAAACCCCCACGCCTCAGGTCATTTTTTTTATTATTTTTTTATTTTAGTAAAAGTAATTATATACTAATACAATTTTTTTTTAACTTTTAACTAAATTATAAATATATCATGACATATAAAATTAATTTATATAAATACAATTTTAGTAAAGGAATTTTATAATATATTTATAATTAATTTACAAATAAATGTTAGAAAGTAAAAGCGCCTGTAGCTCAGTGGATAGAGCGTTTGTTTCCTAAGCAGAAAGTCGTAGGTTCGATCCCTAATTTTCCACTTGCATATATATTAATATTTTTTGAATGTGATATAATTATTCATTGGAATATTTTTAAATATATGCGCAATTTTATATTTTATTTAAAAATATGTTTATTTAGAAAAAAATAAGAAGAAACACAAATTAACACATCATTAGTAATATATAAGTTACCGATCATGTGCCGATCCAACCAAGTCAACATGTGTTGTTTGATCAAATCAGCGTATGTTGGATAATTATTATATCGCGAGAATATCAAATAATTATCGAAAAATAAAATTTGATATCAAAATAATTTATTAAAATAAATTCGATAATCACAATAATTTATCTAAATAAATTCGATAATCACGTCGAGTTGAGGAAGAACCTATCTCCGTAAAAACGAATACGGACCCGGTATTGCCTCCAGTTCGTGGCGCAACGTTCCCAAAGATAAAACGATGTTTGGAGCCGGACTAAAATAAGAACTTCAAATAATCGGTTCCGGAATTATGAATTTAATTTAAAATTAAATTCCATCGATTAAATAATTAACCTATTTTCCAACAACAATGACTTGATAGAGCTTCAGATCGCGATAACATTGTCTATATACTTTATTTCGATCTTTTCATGTCTTGGGTATCACGAAATAAATACAAGGATAATAAGAAGTTGCACTCAATTATTACAGACGTTAACATTAGTATAAATGAATAGAAAAAAAAAAAGAATTATTCACTCGTATGGAAGAAAGAAACGGTAAATAACCAAGCGTTATGTATATACATGTTTCCGGAGTTTTCAAAAGTTTAACCAACATTTTGAATTTAAATCAAATAACTAACTCTCCAATTTATCCTATTCAAATATTAATAATTTTGAATTTGACAAACTTAATTAAATTAAAGTTTTGAATTTAATTTATATAAAATCCAGCAGCTTATTTATGTGTTTTTTTCCTATTTCTTGCTGTCAGGAAAACTTGTTCTAGCGCGTGCACTTGACACTTTCCAGCCCTGTGTCCCTATCATTCGCAAGTACATCGACATCAAAGTTCTTAAATGTCTTTTAAACTACAAAACCCCGTACTTGTATAGGTGATTCATTTAAATCTTGCTCATGCCATACAATTTTTTAAATAAATCATTGAGAGAAGAAATTCTCAACCTACTTTTCTTATAGAATTGAGTCGTTTACCTGGGGAGGTTTATTTACAAAAATGTTCCAATTAACTAAAGATAAGTTTTCCATATTAAATTCAACTTCTAACGTTGTATTACAAGGGAATCGTGTGTCTTATCTTTAGATGAATAAGGGTGTGTTTGTTTGCGGGATTGGATTTCCAATCCACTATTCATCCCATTTTTTTCCTCCAAAAATATAAAATCAAACACCTATTTTTTATTTTTTATATTATACTAAAAATTAATTTTACATTCAAAACATCACATCAACACCTATTTATATCACATCATACAACTATTCAAATTCAAAATTTTTACTATTCAAATCTCAACTCAAAATCCAAACCCCCAAACAAACACACCCTAAGGGATCATATCCTGAGATGACTTGTGCACAAGTTCTCTAGCTAATCTCTTTGTCAAGTGATCAACTAAATTCTATTGTGAATGAATATATTCTACCGAAATCACTCTATTATTAAGAAGTTCACGAATTATGCTATCTTTTACGCCTTTGCGTCGAAACTTACCGTTATAGATTTCACTATAAGCTTTTGTCATTGTTGCTGAACTATCACATGTATTGAAATGAGTGACACCGATTTCGGCCACAATGAAATCTCATGAACCAAGTTATGAAGTTATTCAGCTCCGCGACCAAATCAATAAATTTAGATTCCATTTTCGAACTAATTATACAGGTTTGCTTCATTGGTACCCAACAATAGCACTACCTCAAAGCAAAAAATACCTATCCAGTCGTAGATGCGTGATCCTCTATATGGTTTATCCAACTAACATTCGAGTATCCCTTAATAACCGAAGGAAACCTACTATATGACAAACTATAATTTATTGTTGATTTTAATATTTAAACACTCTTCTATGTGCTTGCGAATAGTGTGTACTTCACTTATTTGTAAATCAACTTAGCCTTTCAATGACATAAGCAATATTCGGTCTCGTGCTAATCATTGTGTACATCAAAGAACCTATGACTCTTGAGTACTCAAGTTGGCATACCAACTCTCCAATATTCGGCATAAGTTTTGCAGTCTGATCAAATAAACTATAACTATATTACAATTTTCTATTTATAATCTTTTAAGAATTTTCTCAACATAATGCGATTGAGCAATTACAATTTTGGAAGATTCTCACTTGATTTTAATCCCAAGAATCTCGCTTGCCTCCCCCACATCCTTCATTGCAAACTTGGATGACAATTTTCTTTTTTTTTTTTTTTTTTTATTTTCATCAACATAACTTTGATCAATTCCAAATACTTAATGAATTTAATATAAAATAAAATCATTTGACACAATTTCATCAAACTTTTGATATCATTGTTTGGGAGCCTATTTCAAACCATATAAAGACTTAATGAATTTAATACCTTATTTTCATTTTTCGGCTCGATAAATCCCTACGGCTACTTCGTGTAAACTTCTTCATATAAGTCTCCATTAAGAAATATCGTCTTTACATCCATTTGATGAACTAAAAGTTTTTCTATGACAACCAATGCAATTAACAACCTGATTGTAGCAATTATTGCAACCGGTGCATACGTATCAAAATAATCGATACCTTCTTTTTGTCTAAAAACTTGAACCACTAATCGAGCCTTAAATTTATCGATGGTGCCATCATATTTTAGTGTACTTTCAAAGAACTATCTATATAAAAAACGTTTACAATCCAGAGGAAAATCTGAAAACACCCAAGTATCGTTCTCCATGATAGAATCTATTTCATTTTCTATTGTCTTATTCCAAAAGACTGCATCCCTAGACTTCATAGCTTCGCTAAATGTTTTAGGATCTTCCTCAACATTATAACATAAATAATACAATGTATCGATTTTATTCCCTGCACTTTTAACTAAATAGAGCTGAAAATCAAGATCAAAAGACTTTGACTTCCTAGCCCTTTTATTTCTACAAGGTTCAATAATTTGTTCCCTCGTATCTTTGTCAAGATTGTTTCCCGAATTCAGCATATTATTTTCATCTAATGCAATATCCATTGGTTGAAGAATATCATCCTCATGCTCACCATACTTAATAGATTTTACAT